TATATAACAATAGATAAGAAGACTTCTAGCTGATTAGAAGATTCAGAATTCCAAAAGGAATGTGATGAACACATGCCCATGGCGTTCACATGAGATTTCTTTATCATCCAAAATTGCAAGTTGGGATTTCTAGAACATATATCTGTCAAAAACAAAAGTCGTTTTAAAATTGTCAATATATGTATAAAAGAATGGGAATAAGTACAAATGACTAAATAAATAACTCCAAAAAGTCACCGGTCATCGGAAAAAAAAAAAAAGGAAACTATATATTTCGTACAAATTGTCATCAAAACATAGCACCCAAGCCAAGGACTAGTCTTAGCTAAAAAGCTGAGAAAGGTAAAAGGGGGACTCTTTGCTTCCCAACCATTATGATCAAATATTTACTGCTATCTCACTTTATTTTTCACCTTCTCCAATTAAGTTTGCCTTTTAATGCATTAAAACCTAAGGCAACATTAATTATTTATCAAAAAATTGTAGATACATCACACTTAGTTTAGAAGATTAATTAATTATAAATTTTTATAAAAGTACATTTTTAATTTTAAGTATTAGACTTAAATCTTTCTCTTTAAATTTGTATTCGTTCTGAAAAGAAAAAATGTAGATCGATCTTTTTAGTTTAGGATTTTAGAAACTTAAGGAAAAGCTCAACTCATCGAGGTTTTTAGTCTAATTTGAATTAGTTTTGTAATTAGGAAAGTTGATTCATGAAACTTTAAGTATCAGTAAGGGCAGCAAGTAAATGAATTAATAAGGAACTCTTTTAATTTAATTAGAGATTTTTATTTTAAGTCCTAAAAATGTAGCTCTATTAAACTTGTGAGGGAGAATTTTACCACTCGTTGGATCTTACTCCGTTCAAATTTAGATTAATTGGTGACTTAGTAAACTTTCGAATATCGAATGGTCCATACCAGAACCAAAAAATAAAAATAAAAAAAAATCAATGAGGGCATCTAATAGGAGTCTTTTTCCTATTAAAAACGATTCCTTGCAGGAGACTCCTGTAAATGACCAGAAGAGTAGGGTCTCACCAATGAGGGGTTGGATCAAGTGGTAAGCGGTTTGTTTCAGTTTAAATAAGATCTCGAGTTCAAATTTTTGTGTACGCAGCAACCCCCGCTGGGAGACTCACCCACTATTTTTAGGTGCGCGACGTGGGTCGAGTCTGGATTAGTCGAGGCGAAGCATCAAATACCGGGCGATAAACCAATAAAAAAAGAAAAAGAGCAGGGTCTCTTATCACCACCACATTTTATTTGTTAATTTATTTATTTGATAAATGATATGAATGTAATTAAATAATTTAAATCAAACAAAAAGCTATTATATAGTTTAAATTGAATTGAATTATATAATAATAA